AAAAAAAAAAAAGAAGAATCACAAAGACTGGCTAGAAAAGCCATACCAAGTAATTCACTTCAGCACAGAAAGGGTGATAGAAAATAATATTGAATGACTTTTCCAGTGAAATAGCCCATACTTACTAGAAAATGTATGCAAAAATACTTGTTTGTACCCTATTAAGGATTAGAGGAAAATGCCAATTATATATTGGGAGATTCTTTAAGTTTTGTGAGATATGCTTTCTATGATGTTGTTAATTCAAACAACACATTTTTTATTGTTAAATATAACACAAATACATAAAACTGCAGATAACAAATTTTCAGCTTAATGAATTACTATAGTCATTACTCATAACAGGAGTTACCTGTTATTTTCCAACCACATCTGAAGCCTCCACCTATCCATCCCATCATAGGTACCACCTTCCACCCTAAGAGTAACACTACTGCTACCCTCTTTTATGGTACTTTTAAAGTAAATTTTCCTCTTTCAATTATATTTGTTGGAAGAAGGAAAAAAATAGATTATTTTTCACAATCTAGATTTTTCTTATTTGCGTTTCTATAGTACAGTTCAAGATTATTCCTCTGTCCTGTATATTTCCTATAAATTGGTAGTTTAGAGGTAAAGGCTAGGTGAGATTCACATTCATTCATTTTTTTTTGGTAAGACTTCTTTCATAGGTTGTTTCTGTTCCTTATCAAGAGGCATATAGTATCTGTTTTTCTCTGTTTATGATATTAGGAACCATTGTCTGGATTCAAATTCATTAAAAACCCAAACCTAACCAGTTGCCTCTAAGTTGATAACAACTCACGGTGACCCCATGTGTGTCAGAGTAGAACTGTTCTGTACTTTTTGTGTATGTGTGTGATGTGGGTGTTAATGGCTGATTTTTCAGAAAAAGATTGCCTCTGGGTGTACTGAAACTTCCAGCCTTTAGATTGGCAGCTGAGCATGTTAACTGTTTGCACTATCCGGGGACTCCATTCATTCATTAAAAACCCAAAAACCCATTGCTCTCAAGTTGATCCTACTCATAGCGACCCCTCCTTGGGTTTCTGAGGTGGTATCACTACAGAAAGATTGCCCAAGCTTCCTTCCAAAGAGTGGCTGGTGGGTTTGAACTACCAGCCTTCTAGTTAGCAGTCAAGTGCCTTAGGCATTATGCCACCAGAGCTCCCATTCATTCATTAGGTGTTGCAAAATGGTAACATTCCAGTTCATCATTCTTTCTTCATTTATTTGTTAGAATACCTCTAAAAGGAGAAGTTTCCTCTCCCCTCCTGTTTGGTTATACAGTAGTACAGTTCATATAGGAAAGGTAGGGTGAATGCTTGATTCTTTCCTCTTATTGACCAGTTTCTAAGATAACAAATTTATTTCACATCATCCTTTGGAAATGACCAAATAGGTGTGTGTTTGGTTTTTTTTCTATAAGTATTATTATGAATTCATATTTAAATATACTTAATGGTTTTCCTGGTGGTGCAATGGGTAAGCACTCGACAGTGAACTGAAAGCTCGGCAGTTCTAACCCACCAGCCACTCCACAGGAGAAAGATGTAGCAGTCTGCTTCCATAAAGAAATTCTATGGGGTGGTTCTGTTTTGTCCTATGGAGTCACTGTGGGTGAATCAACTCAGTGGCAGTGGGTCTGGTTTGGGTTTTTTTGTTGTTGTTGTTTTTGGTTTATCCTTGCAGTTCAAATATTATATCTTTAGCCAATAGGAGTCTCTTCAAGTTGCTTCCAGGGTCTTGAATTGCTTCCAAGAAGCTCTGATTTCTTATAGTTGGGAATGGAAATGATATTTGAAGACTATGATCTGAGCACCAGGGATGTGTATTGCTGCTAGGTTGGTTATTGTTTCTGGGCCTTTTCAGTGAACAGCCATGGTGAATCTTTTTAAAGGTAATTTTTTTTTTTTTTTT